TCTTGGGCATGCATGCACACACGCCTGGTGTGAGTTTAAGCCACCAGGTCCAGGACTTGAACTATGGTTGACTACATGGGAGTCCAGTGACAGCCATAATGTTATTTGCTGGTCCCTCTGTGGCTTTTATTTTTAATACATTTAAAGACTTGCAGTTTCATCAGCTACTGGATATGTCATCTTTTCATTTCTAAGTATTTACCTAGTTTATGTGTTGTCCTATGCAATCATGTTAATGAAGGAAAAAAGAAAGATTACTATATCCAAACTAGATTTAAGAATTAAAGTAAATATCCCTGTTAAAAGACTGCTATAGAACTAGACTCAGTACAGAAATGGAAAGAATAGTGATTCTTTTTATTTATTTATTTATTTATTTATTTTTATTTATTTTTTTGGAGAGGTTTTTGCTATAGGGCGCGTGCGCTCGCCAGACAGACAGAGAGAGACAGAGAGACAGAAAGCGAGAAATCACCCCCCAGGGGGGATGGCCACGCCGCAGTCCATTCTCCTCCAGTCTCCTCTTGGGATCTTGGGCATGCACGCACACGCGTCTGGCGTGAGTTTTAAGCCACCGGGTCCGGGACGCGAACCGCGGTCGACTACATGGGAGTCCAGCGACATAGCCATTATGCTAACTGCTGGTCCCGAGAATAGTGAGTCTTTTGAAAAAAAAAGTTTTTCAGTGCTTTCAAATTTTACTCTCGTATTGAGATAATAAGGGTACGTGAATGCTTATTAGTTTCTATTCTGAAATCAAAAGGAAGATCAGATACTCATGTTTAATAGGTAGAGTTTCTGCCTATCGCTCAGCCTTTCCAGATTTAACGTGGAGAAAATTACAGAAGCTCAATTACATATAAAATAATGATTTTTAAAAAAAACTTTCACTTTGAATGCATAAACATGCATACTATACATACACATATAAGCATTTAGTACACATTTAGCGTAAGCATGTCCTGTGCAATATTTGGGTCTTGCATTTAAAAGTTACTCAAGCAACCTACTCTCTCCCTACTTTCCTTCTCTCCTTCTGTCCCCCACATTTCTAACAAATGGGAGAAAAAAGATATAAAAAAAAAAAAAAAAAAAAAAAAAAGATTTCTCACCTCTCCCTTAGGACATCAAAAAGTTATTTCCTAGTATAACATCTTTTCAGCATATGGATCAGCCTAAATTGACTCAAAATAGATGACATGTAAGGCAGGGCTGGGTTCCAGTCCTCCTGCGTATCACATTTATTTGCATTGTGTGTTTCACTCTTAATTTACAGCAGATGTGAATGCACGTCGTATAGCTCGGTCGTGGAGCAAAGTAGTTAAAAGTCTTTTTTCTTTTCAAGGCTGTGCACTGCTATGGAAAGTAACATAATTAATGTATATATGAATGCCTTGAAGTGTCTGCCTTCATATCCCAGGGAGGATCATTTGTTTTATACCATTTTGGGTGGTACAATTTTTCAACTTGCTCTCTGCCCTCCTCTATGAATGTAAGCAACTATTTCTTTGTTTTTGTTTTTTTTTTTCTTTTTCAGTATCTAGCAGCCTTATGTTCTAATTTGACTAACGCATGCCAGATAAGTTCTTTTTTGTTTTAAAGAAACTTTATTTGCTTCAATGCAGGTCTTAAAAAAGTTCCCTAGCTCTCTCAAAGAATGAGATTTATTTTGATTCTTTTCCCTTCATAATCTCCTTCTTGTCGTAATGAAAAATGCAGAGGCTTTCATGTATGAAGGCTTACAAAATAAGCTTCCATCTATGAGAAGGCAACTGAATAAAGCAACTCCCATTGTTGGCTGCAGCTTTCCAAGCTCGCTTCCTAGGTGCTGCTGTATTCCAAAAACAGACGATGAGCAATAGCTTCTGAGGCCTCTGCCATATCCAGACAACCATTCCTGTGACTCGGACAACAAAGTTACACAACCTTTCATTTTCCAAGAGGCCTACCACAAAGCAACCGCTAATATTAAACTTATTTATTGAGAAGGAAAACAAGAAAGAACTGAGAAAAGGAAGAGAAGGGCTTGGAGATAAAAACAAATGAACAAACAGGCAAAAACTAAAAAACGAGGTGGGAGGCAGCCCATGATGTGGTGGTTAAGGCAGCAGGATCCCACATGGCCAACTATGTGGTTCGAGTCCTGGACATCACACTTTATAAACATGCTGTGTGTGGGGGGGGGCACATGACCAAAATCTTTAACGGGGGAGAAATGGAGGATGGATTGCAGTGTGACCGTTCCCCATGGTGGGTGCTTTTTCACTTTTCCTCTCTCTCTGTCTCTCTCTGTCAAGTTCATGTGCCCACTAGCAAATTAAAAAAGAGAAAAAAGAAAAGGAAAGGAAAGAGAAGGAAAGGGAATGAAAAACCAAGAGAAGGGACCAAAAGAAGAGCTTGGGAGGAAGAAAGGGTGGGAAGAAGAAGGAGAGAATGAGAAAAATAAAAATAAATATGAGTATAAAATATCTGATCTAAGGTTTCTCAAACCTTTCAGCTTTCTATCAAGATGGAGTAATTGTACTCAAAGAAACTTAGAAATATCCAAACCAATTTTTCCATTTCAAAGATGAGAAAAATAAGTACTGGACAATTTATTGACCTTAGTCATAACATGGGTTTGTTGTTAATTAGATCTAGAAATGAGTTTCTCAGATCTCCACTAAACAACCTTTCTCTTTTGCACAGTACATTTTTCACATTTAAAAAGTGAAATGCCCAGTTCTAATTTCATGTATTTTGAAGTTACTGTACTTAATTGTTACACACATGCCACAAAGCTCTTATGCCTAAGGCTCTGTTCATTCTATGCTTTCAACAGAGTTTAATATTCTCCTTCCTGCCTCTCTCTTTTTTCACTAAACTTGAGCTTACTGTAGTCTGTATTTTGTATGCTCCCTTCTAAATCCCTCCTTCCTACCTGTTGCCTCCTTGTGTTTTAAAATTTTGAAGACACTTTGATCCCTTTTTCTTATATAATGTTCTTTTCTCTACCTATTTATTACTTGAATGGTTCTGTTTGAAGAGTCTTTCTGGCAAATTTCTTTTAATTTTTGTTTCAGTAAATTCATTTCTTAATAGATGACAGAGTGACCTCCACTTAAATTGGAAAATAATAAATAATAAAAGTGTTCAAAGGAGTAAAGCACAAACATTCAGGAGGATGTCTAGATAAAATAAACAAACAAAACCAGGCCATGGTCACCATAAAAGGATGAAGCATTACTTGAAATATTTAAAGTACTTCATTTAAATATGTACCACTGCTAAGCAGAACTACTAAAGAAAATGTAAAGAGGGAGCTACTGAGTTTCAGTGTCATCATTACACAATGTCTACGCATTTCTCAGATGATTTTATTCAAAAAAGTGAAATGTAATTATACTACTTATGGCACATATATTATTAGGCAAAATTATAATTAATTTAACACTATGGACCTATTATTCTGAGCTACTATTCTTCATCATTTTATATTGATAAAGTACAGTATTTCTAATTATCCTGTGGGGAAAAAAGGCTGTTTTTAATAATTAAAATCAACTGTAAGCATTCTATTCATTAAATAACTGGTTGTGAAGGCAAAACAGAACGTAATACTTCACAGAGAAAGGTGTACAGGGGAGACTGAGAGACAGACTCAGCAGGACCAGACAGCAATTCCCAAAGGCCACATTTCCTTTAAGTAACTTAATACAATTTAAAATTCATAGTGAAGGGATTTCCTTTAAAACTGAAATTTAGGAATGCTACACCTTGGTTATCTCTCAGATAAATCGGTAAGTTTTGATTCAATATACCAATACAATACTTATTCAGAAGTGAACATCACAAATTGTTTATGAAATGAATTGCTTGTACTAGTTAATAAAACATATATTAATCAGACACATAAATGGATTGCTGTCTGTTCTTGATAACATGAGGTGTATTTGTGTTAGTTAAATTCACTTTACAAGCCAAGTGATGTACAGTGATTGAATGTATAAAATTTAAAAAATAGATTAATCACTATGAAAATGAAATTCACCAGGGCCAGCAGGTGGCATAGTGAAGGCGCTGGACACTCCCACATGGCCAACCACGGTTTGAGTCCCAGACCTGGTGACCTTGCTTTCTCACTTTCCCTTTCTCTCTCTACGTCTCTTTCTGGTCAAATCAAAATAAATGAATAAATAAATTAAATTAAATACATCATTCTCTAAAGAAATTAAATTCACCAAAAATAATACATTTTTTTAGAATTTTTAAATTATTACATTTAGCAAAATTTGGTATTTTCTTAAATCTCAGGCTAAAACATGATTAAGAAATAAAAACTGTTGAACATGATTAAGAAAGAGAAGGAATAAATTTTTTTGCAAATATAGAATCTGAAAATAAAAACGTTGATTCTTGTAAAAATTATTAAATTTAAGAAAAATATATAAACTACAAATTCTCATTAAAATACAGAAAAATAAAACTTTATATATATCTTTTTAAATGTATCCTTTTAAAACATAAAAAGATAAATTCAAGTTTTAAAAATTATTCTGAAAACTAAAAAGGCATCATTAAACATAGAAACTTGAAACATACATTATTGAAAATGCTTTAAGCTTTCTGCCAGCTTATATTATTCTTAAATTTTGAATTCTTATTTAATGTTACAAGTCAGTATAGTAGTTGTATTCCCAACTTGAAAAGGAATAAATATAAATAAAATGTTACCTATGTGGCAAATAAAATCAAATACTAAACTGTAGTAGATAAGAAATAAGTAGTCAGAAAATATGTATTGAAGAAAAATAAGCAGGAAACCAAAATCTGATGTGCACACATTGTAGATACTGTAGCAAATTTCACTTTTTGGTAGAGCTATAGCACCACCTACTGGTCATTTCTACATGACTCCAAAATTAAAAAGGCGCCGAAGTCCAAGATTTAAAAATAAAAAAAAAAAAATATATATATATATACACAAATTTTTAATGAAATTCAAACC